AATGCTTTCTTCTGGATCCTCGAGCTAAAGAAGTTCTCTTTGTTTATGAGGGGACTAGTAAGCTGTCATTGCCATAATTAACCCTGTCTGTACTGTTCAAGCAGATATTTGTTAACAATTGTAACTAGATGTGAACATTGTCTGTCCTAACATAGGATTAAAGGTGTAAAGGCTGGGCTTCTTGCATTTATTGTTATTGAGGACAAACTTGGGACAGGCTCACTCTCGCATTGTTCAAAAAGCCTTGCAGTCAACCATGACACCTCCTCCTGAGAAACATCTAAAAGGTAAGAAATATTGAAGAAAAAAGAAGGGTGAACTGAAACACATAACAAACATTTAGTGGGATTTTCTCAAATTTGACTGCAACTGGACCCAGTTAATGATTACATTTGACTACGTTAAGCAAAAATGAAATTGGTTCAAGACTTATGATAAATTAACATATTCTCTTCAAAACATCCAAACTAATTTTGACAAGACGTGGCAACCATGGATACAATATCTTTTTCTGGATGAATGAGGCTTAGGTGGGCGCCATCTTGACTGCTCTTAACACTTTTCCTTTTCTTTTTTCTTTCCTTTCTTTTGCTTTTCCCTTTCCCTCTTCCTTAGGGGGTTATGTTACCAGGTTTTCTTTTAAGATTGTTTTTAAGTACGCGGAGATGTGAAAAAAAACTAAAACCCATAAGTGGACAAAAAACATGCAAGTGCAAAACACAAACACAAAAACCTCTACCCTGATCTCCTGGGGTGCAAGGCTCCTGACAGGGACAAAGGGTTTCCAACATGGTCAACCTAGCCAAAAGGCCTGGCGTACCCCTTTCTTTGTGGCTAGCCAAAGCAAACCACTAAGTACTAGGTCAGGGAGCTCTCCCGAAGAGAGACCCCCCCCCAGGAACAGGGGAGGAAGGAACCTAATGGCCACATATCCTGCCACCAGACTTCAGGACCCAGACTTCAGGACCCACACCCACCATCCAAGTGAGAAAAAAAAACACACACAAAAGTGAAAGGTGACAAACAGTGAGAAAAAAAATATAAATAAATAAGTGGCTGTGCAATTGTGCCCAGGCAAAGCCCTTAGGCCTGTAGCAAAAACATTGCCCTGGACTTAGCCAAAAGGCCTAGCCCTAAAAGGTGCAGTGCAGTAAAAATGTTTGGAACAGTGACCATGTGCACTTTTCACACATGGGATCCTATCCCCATGTGCTACTAAGTGCACCCCTGAGGCGACCACTCCCAGGGAGTGCCCCCTGGGAGTCCGCTCCACGGACTCTCAGGCTTCCCGGCCCCTGACCAGACAAGGTAGACCCACAACTGGGTACTGGGCCCCTCCGGTTTCCCAGGGGAATTATTCCCAGACCCAAACAGCCTGTGGGCGCCTTGGTTTCTCTTCCAGCCAGTACTAACCTTCAGAGCCACATCATACCTGCAGGAGAACTATTCAGCTAGCCATCCTCACCAAAGGCAAGAATGACGGCGGAGCACCCCTACTGGACACTGATAAGAACAGATACTACATTTGATCTTAGCCAAGTTGTTTAAAACAACATTATTCTTTGCAGTACAAAGGGTGAGATCTTGCGTGGAGCCCCAGATCGAGGGAGATTATCAGTGGTCTTGTATGTCTTCCATTTTCTAATTATTGCTCCCACAGTTGATTTGTTCACACCAAGCTGCTTGCCTATTGCAGATTCAGTCTTCCCAGCCTGGTGCAGGTCTACAATTTTGTTTCTGGTGTCCTTCGACAGCTCTTTGGTCTTCACCATAGTGGAGTTTGGAGTGTGACTGTTTGAGGTTGTGGCCAGGTGTCTTTTATACTGATAACAAGTTCAAACAGGTGCCATTGATACAGGTAATGAGTGCAGGACAGAAGAGCCTCTTAAAGAAGAAGGTACAGGTCTGTTAGAGCCAGAAATCTTGCTTGTTTGTAGGTGACCAAATACTTATTTTCCACCATAATTTGCAAATAAATTCTTTCCAAATCAGCCAATGTGATTGTCTGGATTTTTTTTCTCCATTTGTCTCTCATAGTTGAGGTCTACCCATGAAGCCAATTACAGGCTTCTCTCATCTTTTTAAGTGGGAGAACTTGCACAATTGGTTGCTGACTAAATACTTTTTTGCCCCACTGTATTTCAAAATATATTTAAATAAATAAATATATATATATATATACACACACACACACACACTGCATGTTGAAATGCGTTTTCATTACATAGTATATGAAAAATATTTTTAAAAATACATCTCAAATATACCGTATGTCCTTAAAAATACAAATCTACATTTTTAAAAATTTCATTTTTAAAAATATATTCTTCAGATTTTTTTTAACATATAAATAAGTCATATATTTGTAAATGCATTCCAAAAATGTAGATTTGTATTTTTAAAGACATACAGTATATTTGAAATGTATTTTTAAAAATATTTTTCATATATTTTGTAACAAAAATGCATTTAACATGCAGAGTATATATATATAAAAACCCACATGGAAGAAAAATATATTTGAAATATATTTTAAAAAATATTCTTTCCAAATATATTGACATGTATTTTAAATGCTACAATTTTGGCCATATTCTATATATATATATTAAAATACATGTCAATATATTTGGAAAGAATATTTTTTAAATATATTTCAAATATATTTTTCTTCCATGTGCGTTTTTAGCACTGATCACCAAGTCAGTTCCCCTCAGTGTCAGAATGCCCGCCGCAGTCCCACAGTCCCGCTATAAGTTGCTGATCGCCGCCATTACTGGTAAAAAAAAATTTCCAGTATACAGCATATACCGCCATTTGTAAACGCTATAACTTTCATGTAAACCAATTTACACGTATAGGTACTTTTTTTTAGCAAAGACATGTATACATTTTACCATATATTTATGACCAAATTTGATTTTTAAATTTTTTTTTTTATTTAACATGTTTAATAGCAAAAAGTCAAAAATATTGGTTTTTTTTTTACAATTGCCAGTCTTTTTTTGTTTATAGTGCAAAAAAAAACAACGTACAGGCGATCAAATTCCACCAAAAGAAAGTTCTATTTATGGGACAAAAAACCCATACATTTCATTTGGGTGCAGCGTTGCATTACCGCGCAACTGTCAAAGTAGCGCAGCACTGTAACACAAAAAATGGCCTGGTCAGGAAGAGGAGTAAATCCTCTGGAGGGCTAGTGGTTAAACTGTGCGCATTCTTTTTCAAAACTAAAATGAAAAAAAAAAATTGAAATACAAATATGATGGCAAAAATGTAACTATAATTTAAAACTGAATTCCAACTGGGAATTCTTCCCATTAAACTTGCTTCACTTCTACACCACTCAAGCTAATTGTCCCATGTAATAAACCAAGTAAACTTGCAAAAAAAAAAACAACATGGATCCATGATCATCTATCATGCCAAGTCCTTCTGGACTAAGCAGGGAGTGGAAGAGTCCTTCTTTGGTTGCCTGTATCACTGCTTGGTGACGTGGACTCTTCCTACCTGAGAATTCCAGCACTATTTATTTTATTTACCTATTACTAGTATTTATATACTTAGTAGCGATATAGTATACATTCACATCAGTCCCTGCCCTCAAGGAGTTTACAATCTGCGGTCTCACATTTTTACTAATTTTAAACCTATTAGCATGTCTTTGGAGTAGTAGTAGTAGTAGAATGTCAGTAGCATAGTAATGTCTCGGAAGAACACCATGGGGATCAAATGACAGCAGATGCCAGTAAGGTATAAACAGGTTTGTTTATTTTAAATTGTGAATATATTAGAGCAGGGTTGGTGGAAGATATGGAAATGGGGGCAGGTTTCCCATAGATGAGCTTTAATGGCACTTGCACTATGTTTCCTTTCAGTAAAATTCACATGTTACATAAATCAGAAGTGCATAGTCAGCAAAACCAAATCGCACTGTTATTTTGAGTTTAAAAAATGCCTCATTGCTGTCATGAATGAAAAACCACTGTAGCTTTGTGAATATAATGCCTTGGGTACATAGTATTGTTACATAGTTAGTCTGGCTGAAAAAAGACAAAAGTCCATCCAGTTCAACCATTAAAAAAAAAAAAGTTATACTCCTATACCCACAGTTGATCCAGTGGAAGGCAAAAAACCCCAGCAAAGCATGATTCAATTTGCTCCTGCAGGGAAAACAATTCTTTCCTGATCCCCCAAGAGGTAATCGGATATTCCCTGGATCAACTTTACCTATAATTGTTAGTATCCAGTTATATTCTGTGTATCTAAGAAATAATCCAGGCCTTTTTTAAAGCAATCCACTGAGCTGACCAGAACCAACTCTTGAGGGAGTCCATTCCACATTTTCACAGCTCTTACTGTGAAGAAACCTTTCCGTGTTTGGAGATTAAATCTTTTTTCCTCCAGACGTAAAGAGTGCTTCCTTGTCCTCTGTGTCGACCTCAGGGTGGATAGCTCTACACCGAGTTCACTATATGAACCACTGATGTATTTATACATGTTGATCATATTCCCCCTTAATCTCCTCTCCTCAAGAGAAAATGCGAGAGCCCCTCGGGTTAAAGATCACATGGTCTCTGACAACCAGAAACCTTGTGTGTGTTTCACACAGAGTCTACTTTCTTTCATCAAAAAGACCTTGTCTGACAGACTTTCAGTGAAGGAAGATGATCAGAAAGATTCAGTCACTATGCAATACTACTAATCTGGAAGCAGAGTCTTCAGATGTAATGAGCAATATGGCTGCCCTATGAAGACATGTAATAAATTCCACAGGCATTTGAATTTTTTCTGCCCCTATATGCCCCTCTATTTTAGCCATGTATCCATGCACACATAGGTGTTTACAGGTGCAGTTAGGGGCAGATATCTGAATGCACCAACATTGCGTTCAAGAGAGGGGCGTTTGGCCAGAAAAAAATGCCAGATGTGGCCACCTATATATGGCCACAGATCAGATCAGAAGCAGTCACTACACTGGGGGTGTGACTGCTTCTGATCCAGGGGCAGACTGACCATTTGGGAACTCGGGCACTGACCGAGAGCCCAGGGTCAGTAAGGGGCCCCATGAGATGCCCCTGGTACCTTTCATAGGCTTTTTTGGGTCTGGTTTGAGTGTGGGCAAGGATACAGGGGCCCCATGATCCCCTATTGCCCAGGGGCCCCATAAGTTGTCAGTCCGCCCCTGTTCTGATCTGTGACCATATATAGACAGACAAGGCACCAGGTTGGTCTAGCTCTGAGGAAGCGAGTTCGGCTCCCGAAACGCATCAGTTTTTCAGACCAGATGGTTCCAGGACAGGAAACCACTGCCCTAGACTGAGGAGTCTATGATACACTTCTGTATTCATATTCCTTTTGTGAATATCCATTTGTCTTTTGAGGTTTTAATAAAAACTTTTGTTACGGTAATGAACGAGGTGTGTGCACTTTCTTGTGTGTTTTTTACATTGATAAGAATATTTACATTCAGGTGATTTAGTTTGTATATTAAGAAAATTTTAAAAAACACATTTTTTCTTTTTTTTAATGAAAGCTATATATGGGTAAAAAATAGTATTAAAGCCTCAGCATTTTTATAGCTTAACACTTTGAGCACAATAAAATAAACATTCCCTAGAACAATATTTTTAGAATTCATACTCCAGCGTTTGTAGTTTATAACTTTGAATGTGCTGGCTACTGCTCTCTCATTGTTACTTCCCTGAACTCTTTGTCTTCACATGAAAGGGTTAAGGCCTCATGCACACAGGACTCTTTACAGCTGCTCATAGAGGTATCTGGTGTTTTTTTTCCTGCCTCTAAATCACCCTGCATGTTATCCTAGATGTCCATGCACACTTTCAGCAGTGTTTAGTGGCAGGAGAGTTTAGAGGCAAGGAAAAAAAACCCCAATGTCAGTGCGTCCAGAAGTAGCAGAGTTTGGCAGGAAAACCCACTTGATGCTGCTAAACACATCTAAACACACCTAAAATGCACCTAAACGCTAGACACATTTATTTCAATAGCCAGAATAAATTAGCTTTCTGGACAATGAAATAAATAACCGCCCAAACACTAAATGATGCTAAACTCTTTTAAACTAGTTTGAAAAAAATGCAGCTTAGGTGAGTTTTTAACTCTGATGTTATCCTGTCAGAATGAACAGCGTTTTACAATAAACCAATGAGGTCTAACAGTGGATATTTCAGTCTTCAGGCAGTCTGTTATCTGGAGAAGGGAGGGAGTGGAGGAGGGAGGTTCAGTGGAATGCCTTTCCCTCCTAGGCTATGGAACTTCTATTGATGCACACAATGTAGGGAGACACAACTTCTGCATGCAAGGGTGGCTCCATAAGGTGCTGCAGGAGAAAGCACCCAAAACAGGAACCTGGGGCAGGAGTCATGGCGCCAGCTTGACCTCCAGAAGATTTACCCCCTTTATGACCAGGCCATTTTTTGTGCATTTGGCGCTGCGTTATTTTAAATGACAATTGCGCGGTCATGCGGCACTATAAATAAAATAATTTTCTGTCATTATTTCCTGACAAATAGAGCTTTCTTTTAGTGGTATTTGATCACCTCTGCATTTTTTATTTTTTGTGCTATAAATGAAAAAGCCCCGACATTTTAAAAAATATATATATTTTTTGCTTTCTGCTATAAAACATATCCAATAAAAACATTCAGGCCAAAATGTATTCTGCTAGATATTTTTGGTAAAAAAAAAAAATCTCAATAAGTGTATATTATTATTATTATTATACAGTATTTATAAAGCGCCAATGGTTCGCTCAGCGAATTGATTGGTTTGCTCAAAAGTTTTATATATATATATATATATATATATATATATCCCTTGATGACGTGTTGTGATGTAACTCGTAGGGTGGGCCATTGACGTTAAGCCGCATGACCGGAAGTTTGCCAACCACCATTTTGTGAGTCACCATAGAACGCTGGATGTGGCATTATGGAAGCTATTCAACTGCAGTGTCCCAGTTGGGCACTTTTTATGTGAGTGCACTTACTTTTTAAAAAAATGTTGATTGAAACAAGTGATACACTGATGGGCGTTTTTTCTGCATTTTCAGAGGATATGCTGTATTAGAAATAGGAAGACCAATCTGGATTAGAGGGTGGAGAAGATTGGAGGTGGAGAAACCATACCTACCCGGGTTATAAGGGAAAAGCGCTGTTTGACCTAAATATCTATAGGTCAAAGCAAGGAGGTGAGAGTACATATGTGTGTTGGTGGAGGAGAAACACATAAGGGTGATTCTTTACACGGCAGGCAGGTCCACAAATGTTTACACATGTTATAAGGACATTATGTGTGAATTATACAGTATGTTGCAAGATGAACACATTATTTATGTAATGCACTGTGGTGTGTATATGCACTTTATAAGAAGTTATATGGGAAATTGCACAGGCACTTTATTATAAAGATTGTATATATGTTATAAATTGTCGGTATATAATATGTTTACATTGTGCTGCACTGGTCTATAAAGCATAGGTATATTTGTATATGTGGGAACACATTTAGTGTCAGTAGCAGTATTAAATTGGAGGTGGGATTTTTTGCATAATTGCGCTGAAGTATTTTTGCATATAAAAAAACACACAGTACATGTGCTGGATTTTTTTTTTTTTTTTTTAAATACTAGTAATGGCAGCAATCAGCAACTTATAGTGGGACTGCAGTATTGTGGCAGACATTTTTACACCAACTGACACTTTGTGGGAACCAGTGACACTAACACAGTTATCAGTGCTAAAAATGACACTGGCTGGGATGGAGTTAAACATCTAGGGCAATCAAAGGGTTGATTGTGCATATAGCCAGTGATTTTGTGTGCACTGTGTACTGTTTTTACTAAGCACTCTGCTAGATTTTATTCCCTGAATAAAACCTTGCAGATCACGTTGACATAACACAGCTCTGCCTTGTTTACATAGAGAGAGCAGTGTTATGTCAGTCTCCTCAGCGATCCACAGGTGCCTACACTCATTCATTGGCTGGCACATATTGATTGGCTTCTGCTGTGTCCAATCACAGCAGAAGCAGAGCTCCGGCGGCAGTCATGCGCCCCCCAGTGGCCGAAGTGCAAAATCCCATTTATATATGGGATTTTGCACAGAGCGTCCACTCTGTCGCAGTAATCTGCTATAGGGTGGACAGAAAGTGGTTAAGCTGGAACCCACTGCATTGTTACTGATTGCAGGTTGGTAAATAGCCACAAGATGGCAGTGCTCTGTCGTTCTGTTGCCTTTCAGGAAATCATACAACATTGCTGAGAATGCTGGAAGCAAGATTTCTTCATTCAGTTTAGCTGAGACAGAACTACAGATCCCAAGTGAGTGAGTAAAGGAAAAGGAGCATATAAAAGGGAAAAGATCAGGAGCATAAAAATTGGAAAAGCCCAGGAGCCTAGGAGGAGAGGAGAAGACTGAGAGAAAGGCAGGGCGTGTGTGAGAACGGAGTGCCGATCCATTAGGCCTCAGGCTGGATCAGACTGATTTGGAGGTTGGAGAAGGGAATTTCCAGATCGCCGATCGTACTGAGAGGTAGGATAGTCGATCCTGCATGCAGTTGGATTTGGTCATCACCATTGCCACTACTATCTCAAAGACAGCGAGAAAAGGGGGCCCCTCAGTCACATCTACACCAGTAGCCCATTTAAGTACTGCACACTGTATATCAGCCTTAATAGTTTCTGTTTCCCTGATTGACACGAACTGTGAAAAGTAAAAGCGTATTACCTTAGGCCTTTTCTACACAAAAAAAAGCCACACGTTACACCAGCCAAGTCTCTCACTTACATAGGACATACTTCTGCTAAAGTCTGCTGCCACCCCTCTTCAGTTTGAATAACCACCATATCCTTTTTGATGCATTAAATGTAAACTCCCAGCTTGCTGTCTTTAATAAAGGGGAACTCTGCTTGCTGTGTCATCATCTTTAGGGAAGTGACATTTTCTCATCAAGAAAAAGGATTACACCTCCACTGTACACCAAAGTAAAGAGCTCCACCAAAGCTGGCAGAAGAGTCTCTTTCCGCATTGTGTAATAGGTTTTATATGGGACATTTTTGCTTGCCAAAACCTTTAGAGTTAAACACTGGTTCTGGTTACTGGGAGCCCAAAAGCTAGCCTAACATTCTTAATCTCTCCTTTTCTGCTCGTTTTGGGAAAATTCTTTTGGTAGGAGAGCTCTGAGTAAACCCTGAGTCCTGCAGGACAATTGGGACTATTTAGAGGTAAGACGTTTCTTGTAGAGGATTATCAGGTTTGCACACATCTCAGAAGGGATTTTGGTCCACTTTTCTTTAGAGATCTTCTCTAAATCCTTAAGGTTTATTGGCTGTCACTTGGTAACTTGAAGTGTCAGCTACCTCCACACATTTTCTATAGGATTAAAGTGGCTAGGCCACTCCATGACCTTAATGTGCTTCTTCTTGAGCCACTCCTTTGTTGCCTTGGCAGTATGTTTTGGATCATTGTCATGCTGGAACACCCATCCATGCACTGGCTGAGGGAAGAAGGTTCTCATCCAAGATTTTACAATACATTGGCCCCTAAATGCAGCAAAGTCGGCCTGTACCTTTACCAGAGAAAGAGACCCAAAGCATAATATTTCTACCTCCATGCTTGACTGTGGAGATAGTGATCCTAAGAACATAGTCAGCATTTTTCTTCCTCCAAACACGGCGACTCTAGTTAATGCCAAAGAGCTCAATTTTGGTCTCATCTGACCACAGCACTCTCTCCCAATCCTTCTCTGAATCATTTAGATGTTCATTGGCAAACTTCAGACAGGCCTGTACATGTGCTTTCTTGAGGGGGACCTTGCGGGGGCTGTGAGATTTTAGTCCATGCCGGCGTATTGTGTTACCAATGGTTTGTTTGGTGACTGTGGTCCCAACTGCCTTGAGATCATTCACAAGCTCCTCCCGTGTAGTTCTGGGCTGATCCCTCACTTTTCTTATGATCATCCTTACCTCATGAGGCGAAATCTTGCATGGAACTCCAGACCAAGGGCAATTCATGGTTATTTTGTATTTCTTCCATTTGCGAATAATTGCTCCAACAGTTGTCTCCTTCTCACCAAGCTTCTTGCTGATGGTCTTGTAACCCATTCCAGCCAGGTCTACAATCTTATTCCTGATGTCCTTTGACAGCTCCTTGGTCTTGCCCATGGTGGTG